CACTTGTTATTTTGATGGATCGTGTCATGTCACACCTATTATCTTAACGGGTTCTTAATAGGTTAGGTCATTTTACCCAACGGTTAAAATAGCTTAACATTGCCACAAAAATAGGTTAGGTCATTATGGCCTGTTAAGAAAAAAAATTTTCTTTCTAAATTTGCACATATCACATAGCCACATAAATATTACTTCAGAATAGCTTAACATTGCCACAAAAATATCATAACGAGATTTGCTTGATCCAGAGAGAGAATTGGAGACAAAAGTAGCAAATGGACTGGTGGTGAATTAATAGGTCGTATGTGGTGACAGTGGTGTGGTGGTAGGAGACTAGAGAGGGTGGTCGTGGAGTTGTGGCTAGCCAGAGTTGAGGTTCTAAACTGAGATGAGAGTTTAGTTCAAGATAGAGATAAAAGATGCTTCAATTCGAGCCTTCGAGAATGAGAGAGAGAGAGAGTCTAATTTATGGCTAAGATAAAAATTGGATGACCAAGATTAAATCTTTGTTCATCAATTTTCTAAATTTTTAACTTTCAGTTTGTTTCGAGATTAAATCCTATTGCTGTTAATTATAGTATTTTTTTTAGTGGTATATAATTATCAAATTAAAATTTTCTTATTGTGTAACGGGTTATCCACATATATACCTGGACTGACCCGTTATCTTAATAAGTGCTTATCGGGTTACCCAATAACGACCCGATTCGTTAACGTGTCTACCCGAAAATCTGTTAATTTCGTGTTGTTTCGAGTTGGGCTAACGGGTCGTGTAAAAAATTTCTAGGCCTACCAATAGGAGAAATGAGAGATGGTATGCTATCTGCAGTCTTAATTAATCAAGAACATAAATTTCTTTTTCCGTGTCAGTAGATTGATTATTGCTTGCAATCATGATCAAATACCAAGTGTTGTATACTTGTAACAGAGTAGAGAATTAAGAGTAATGAAATTAATCGTTTTACGATGGATGAAATGTCGAGTTTGTGACCTCATCATCTTCTACTCAATCAAATTAAGCAAGTCCTGAGCCCACAGGTTAGGAGGCACCACACACCAAATGGGTGGGTAACATACCATAAATGACGCTACTTAAGGAGAATGACTTTCATGACACAGGTACACTATTATTGTGATATTTCGTGTCAATGATACACAATACACGTGTAAAATGAAACCAATAAAACTTGTATCATGTAACTTGTTCATCAAAGATATTGATTAGGCCGGTAACCAACTATCACTAAGCTATGACAGTTTCCCTCCAGTTCCACACTGGTTCTATTTCGATGCTCGTGAAGCAGAGTCTTTATCATATTGGTTTGTCTGGTCTGATTAGGTCATTGCATTGTCCAAAACACATTCTCTAATTGAATATTAAATACCTACTTAACATAAAACACAGCTGGCCCTTGCAATTAACGAAACTTGGCACTGTCATGTCGCGTGTAGTCGATGGGTTCAAAGTGCTCATGTGTTGGGGGCAGCCTAACAAATTGGTACATGTAGCTCAAAAGCCACATATGCCATGTGTTACTTTCTACTTGTTGCTTATCCAACTCCAACCACGTAAACTAGAGGCGTTGTTTGGTCTCTGTGCACATGATGAAATCGAATGGTGAAAGGTGGTGAAACACATGGGCTATAATGGTGTGCTATTTTAGAGCAGAAAGCCACTCTTGAGCCAGAGTCAATTCAGAACCACCTTTTGACAGGGATTCCAGCTCCACTTTTGCAGTTTTTGAACGGTTCAGATTATTGGGTCTGTAAACTCTGGAGTGTGACATCCGGAGAGAATCTCAATCCATGGTTTTTTACTATTAGATTTCAACGATTAAGAAGATCTAATAGCAACTTTTTTTGTTTGTTTATTCTTACCTCCTACACTCTTGTTTATCTTACCATACCTCGTGTATTCATCATTTGTGTCTCTCTCAATCCCATTTCGTCCACTAAGTTAAGAGAGACATTAATTCCGTTGATATGTCAATAACTATCTGGTTTTTTCAGCAATGATAATGGAGATAGGTCAAATGAATTGTGACTTTTAATGACAAATTGTCAATCTTTGAGAGGTTGAGCCATTTAGGATAGTCATGGAGTGAACTTGGGGTAATGTTGGCGAGCTTTTGGTTTTGCTCTATTCCAAGGTTGTTTTTGCTATTTCATATATTTCTAAATGTGAAAATGGGTTGGAAAGTCCAAAGAGCCTATGTCTCGCCAATGAAAGATGAATACATTGAGTAAAGTGAGACATAACAGAGTATACGGGGTAATGTGCGATTTTGTAAGAGTGCATGGTTGACTTTAATGCTACGTACGTAGCACTAAATGTTACATGTGTTTTTTTTTTATGTACGTAGTACTCAACATTACTTGTGTTTTAGTTGTTAAGTTTAATTTTCATAATTAGAGCATCTCCAATGCAAAGACTCAAATCTTAAAACTTGAGTATGTGCATGAGAAAACATTGGACTCAAAATTCATATTTGATTTATAAAACAATTTGGTTATGTTTATTGGAAATGATTGGACTCAAATCTCATTTTCTTGGTTGAATAACGTTTTTCCTTATTGGCATGGGCTCCAACTTGAACTTAAATTTGATATTGAAACTTAATTTTGGGTCTCAACTTCGTTGGATACTTGAAATGAGTGTGCATTAGGGAACCTTAGACTCATATTTAGACTCGAACATAAAATTTGAGTTCGAATTTTTCGTTGCATTGAAGATGCTTTTTGATCTTTTATTTTCAAACTCAACTTTTCATTTTTAGTAACACTCAATGCTACATAGTAATGTTGAAGAAAAGTTGAGAGATATCCGAGATGGTTACACTACCATTACATCATTTATCAACACGAGTTTATTCGATGGTTTAGGGTTCAGGAATACAAATGACAAAGATTGAGATTATCCCAATGGTGTATTCATGCTATGTTGAAATATTCCACATCGATCATATATGTGAAAAAAAAAAAAAAAACAGAGTTTAAAGATCTTAATCCCACTTCAACTAATATCAAGATCTTTTGTACTAAAACCCCACACCTGAAGAATTGTGCAAGTCGTAATTACCAAGTTGAAAACAATATTGGTGTTGTTGAGAGTGGACCCTTAGTCCGTCTCTCTGATAATTCTACATGCTAGTCCTTCAAACCAAATCCATCTCCATCATGTTTTTGTTTTGTTGGAGAAAATCTCTTGCTTCGATTCACTTAGATGAGAAATGCTAACAACCTACTTATTTTAATTTTCTTGTTTTATCTTCTTGACTCTTTTTATCATTTAGCAATATTGCAGGATGGTCTAGGTCACTCTTTAAATATCTACTCTACTAAAAATCAACCAAATCCGAGAAGGTTTACCACGCGGCAAAATTGCGAATTATGAACCAAATTTTGTAGCCTTATGAGAGCATGCAACTTCCATTTCCATGTGAAATTGTTAAGCAAAAGTATATATTGCATGGTATTTCTTCCTCTTTTTTTTTTTTATGACTCGTATTTTATATATAAGTAGTAAACATTAATTTTTTTTTTTTTTTAATTGAGAGGTCGGTCATCTTCAAAACTAAAGCCAATTTTATCTGCTTAACCAAATCCACTACACAAATGGAACTTAACGTTTAGCCATAATCCTATGAACTTTTGAATCTTTGATTAAAATTTAAAAGACCAACCTAACCCAATAATTAATTTGTTCATTTTAGGGTAGAGAGAGAGAGAGAGAGAGAGAGAGAGAGAGAGAGAGAGAGAGAGAGAATGGTTTGGAAGAAGGAATACTTGGATTTAATCTTGGTTCCAACTGGGCTGGTAATCATGCTTTGCTACCATCTTCTCCTTCTGTATAGGTACCTAAGACATCCTGAAACTACAGTCATTGGCAATGAAAACCACTGCAGAAAAGCTTGGGTTGAGAGAATGTTGCAGGTAAGTTTATAAGACTTCACTTTTCGTCTTCACTTTTCCTAGAATGTTAGGTGCAAATTCACAATCTGACAATATAAGCGTTTTTCTAACAACTAAGTTCAGCGAGAGAAAACACAGAGTCACTAACTCTATTTGGTCTTTAATTATTTGCAGGTTGATGCAAAGGACAGAGGTATGTCCCTAACTGTAATCTCTAGCACCATAACAGCAGCAAATTGCTTAGCCTCAACCTCTCTAGCCTTAAGCTCTCTCATCGGGGCATGGATTGGAAACACTTCGCACAACACCTTCACGAGCAGTATTACATATGGGGACACAAGTCCTGCGCTAGTTTCTGTCAAATATATTAGCATTCTGACCTGCTTTCTGCTGGCCTTAGCTTCTTTTTTACATTGCATAAGGGACTATGTCCATGTCAATTTCCTCATCAGTATGCCAGACAGTGATATTCCTCAGGAGCATGTCGAGAAGGTGGTGATAAGTGGAGGCTTGTTCTGGACATTGGGGCTCAGGGCTATCTACTTTGCCACTATTTTGTTGCTCTGGATTTTCGGTCCAATTCCAATGTTTGTTTGCTCAGTGACTATGGTGTTTGTTTTGTACAGACTTGATTCAAATTCCACTCCATTGCATCAGTTCCGACCAGTTGGGAGCCGTGATAATATGATCAGGAAAATAGGTAAGGAAAACCACAGAATAGAAAGGGCTACTGAGCAACATGAAAGATCACATATGCATGGAAGCACAACTCAAGAACCACCACCACCAACAACTACGAGATTAAATTCAGAGGCAACAAGTTAAACTCTATGAGAAGATTTTCGAGTATTAACACGAGAGAGAGAGAGAGAGAGAGGTTTGGAAAATCACATGTTTTGTATTCTAATTCCTATCTTAAAATTTTCGTAGCAAACTTTGACATGACGCAATTTGGTGATTTTGGTAATTGTAATCATTGTTACACTTTATGGCATAGGACAGTGATTTTCACACTCTCATTTTCTCCTTTCTATCAAAATAAATGAGCAAAGATAAACAAACATTAATGGCAGCTATGAACCATTGCATCTTTGACAAACATATATTAATATTGAATAGGAGATTGAGTGCAGACTGATCATAACAAAATGACAGGGCCAGAAATGGCACAGATTTCATTCAAAGATATATATTTACCTTGAAATAAGTTGAAATGATAAAAAACTATGCTTTTGCGTCAAAGTTGGTTTCTGCTCTATTGTGTTCCATCTGAACCTTGATCGTCCCTATCACTGTTCTCACCACTATTTGCGGGGCTCTCAACCATTGAATTGAATGAGCCCGACTGCTCCTTACCTTGAGTCTGAGTTTCTTCACTTGTACCTTCCATGATGGAGTTGATGGCGAGCTGACCAGCATAAAGGACTAAACCCACAGCATTGATGCCGAAAACAAATGTTGCAAGGTAGCACAACCCATTTATAATTGTCCTGCCAACAGAAGATTAAAGGTGATCATTCTTCCAATCAATGAAGAGCAAGGAAAACCGGAAGGAGTTAGTAGTAGGAGCTGCCTGATGGTTATTGTAATCTGACGAACCTGAAAAGAGAAAACAAGTAGATTGTTCAGAAAAGAGGATGAGTATCTCGAGTACAATTTTTCTACCACCACATTACATAGCAAGCAAAGAGTAAGAGCATTTTGTGGTTCAAGTTGTGTATGACATCACCGGTCATAGCCCAATCTAAGAACTTACCGGCCCCTTTGGTATTCACTTGAATTCTTAATCCTACTGTTCTATTCACAGTGGATTCAGAGTATACTGGCTAATCCCAGCATACAAGAAATGAAGCAACATAAATTAAGAGGCGGTTAAAGAGCAAGAGAATTTATCTGTATCATTGTTTTCTAAATGGAAATTTAGAGAAACTGCCAGTGTCAGAAAACTCATAACGAACCATTGTGTTAGTTAAACACGAATATGGCTAGAACTGAAAAATTAAGGACAAGAGCAATGAAGGGACTAACCGAAAAATTATCAGAAATAGTTTGGCGGTTGAGAGATGCTTCAATTGTAGTAGTGAACTTGTAAAGAATAAGCGCAATGACACCGGCTGATATTCCACCCAGCAAGGCCTGAACAGGTGAGGGTGGACCCTTTGCTTCAACAGAACCTGTAGAAAGTGCTTTCAAGCTATCCAAAGCCTCATCCTTCAAGGACTTCTTCACTTCAGATGACCTAAATTTCTAGGCACCAAAATCACTCTATCAAAGCCACAAATTTGCTCACATTAACACATAAAAATTTGTAATTCAAGTGAATGGCAAATTGTATCCCAATTTCTCAAAATCCAAAATTAACCACAATGGCACATTATCTTGTAATATTTAAGTACATAAAGTCAATGAACATCAATCCGGACAAGCGGTGGATTGCCCTGCTGGATATGGCTTCGTCTTCAACCAACAACGTTTTGCATTCAAACCCTCTCCCTCACATTGGTGTAACTTAAGAGTAGTAATATTGTTTGTAATAGAATTAAAAATCATTCCCCAAAATCCCAAAAAAACTTGTAATTGAAAATAAAAGGAATTCCCACCAAAACCCAATTCCTAAAATTCCAAACCTCAGCAATACCAAAACACAAAAACAGTAATTTGTAGACATAAATGAAAATAAAGCTACAATCTTTACCAGTTCTTTAGCACGCTTGGCGCGGCGTCGCAGCGAGCGAAAGAGGAAGACAGTGATGGCTCCGGTGAGAAGAACACTGGTGGCCACTTGGAGAGATGAAGGGTCATCATCGGTGGCAAACACTGGAGAAGAAGACGGTGGCAATTCTTCGGGACCGTCTGGAGCAAATTGCAAGGGTGTGTATGGAGTTTCGGTCGTCGGTTCTGGAGCTTCGGCTAGCCATTGTTCGAGGCTGGGTCTGGAATGGGCTGAGACGGGGCAGAGATTGGTGGGTTTGTGGAAAAATTTGAGTGGAGGAGGAGAGAGAAAGTGGGTTTGGGGATGAGAGAGAAATATGGGGAAATTGGAACGGAGAAAGTGTTGGGTCTGCAACATTTGACGGATTTTAGAGAGGGAGAGAGAGCTAAGCTGCTGAGGAGTTCAGTTATGGCTCTGTTTTTTGGTTTATTTTCTATCTCGTCAATCAAAGATTTTGGTGGGGCTTTTGAAAAATCTCTGTTATCCGGTTATCCCCCCAGATTTTGAACCACATTTCATGTGTGCATTGCAAGCCGTCTCTTTTTCTAAGGTTTTATTTACAACCAATAAAAAAAAATGGTAAGAAGATCGTATTTTTAAATTATATTTTGTACATTAGATGACGTGACGATAAAGTAAGACTTCATGTTTTAAAGAATTCAAGAAGGAAGCCCAACTGTCAACAAAATGCGGTTGAAAAGGAGAAAAATGCAAGACAAACCATATTTTTAGATCATATTTTGTAAACCACATGATGTGACGGTTGATGGTTAGATTATGCCTTTAATTATCTAAATAGGAAGTCCACAATTAATTGCCACATTATGTGGTTTACAAAATATAGTTCAAGTAGATGGTATTTTCTATGAACAGAAATGACTATAAATATAAAATTAGAAACATTTAGGCTCATTGGTAATGCTTTACAAACAGTTTTTGAAAAACTATTTCGCAAAATAAAAACGATAAATAATACATATCAAGTGAAATAATACAATAGAAACTCGAGTATCACATGAGAGTGGATCATTGAGATTAGACAACAGCAACTCCCTCTCCCTGTCTCTATCTCACACGTGATTGTTGAATTTGATGATCCAATCAGATCATCAAAGTTATTGAATTTGATGATCCAATCGGATCATCAAAATTATGTCTTCAATTATTTAAATAGGAAGTCAACAATTAACCGCTACATTATGTGTTCTACAAAATATAGTTCAAGTAGATGGTTTTTCTATGAATACAGAAATGACCATAAATGTAAAATTAGAAACATTTAGGCTCATTTGGTATCATTTTTACAAAATGTTTTTGAAAAATTATTTTGCAAAATAAAAACGACAAATAATACATATGAAGTGAAATAATACAATAGAAACTCGAGTATCACATGAGAACGGATCATTGAGATTAGACAATTGCAACTCCCTCTCCCTCTCTCTATCTCACACAGATTTTTGAATTTGATGATCCAATCAGATCATCAAAGTTATTGAAGCGAATCAAATTGGGTTGGATTAATTGGTTTGAATGGATTACTGGATGTTACTTTTTTTAATACAATCAGACTACATAAATCGATCGGTATGTAAATCAAGTTAAATATCACAAAATAAAACTCCCTAGCGCACATTAGAAGCCACAGTTCTAGCCCAGAACTTGATCTGTGCCTTCATGTCTTCAGCAGACTTAGTTGCACCCAAATTTGGAGGTGGCGGGGCTGCGCAGCTTTGCGCCAGCCACACCTCAGAAAGATAAGGCCTCCTAACATGTGCCGGGTTCAAATCTTCACTTGTCTTCTTTTCTTGCAACCCAGGAAGTATGTTCACCACACTAGGGCTCAACTCTTCCTTGTCAAATGTGAACCCCAAGTCCTTGAACCCTTGCAGTTCTTCAATTTCAAGATCACTTAGGCTCTTTCTCGTCGTCAGTTGATTAGGGCATCGCGCCTCATTTCCTTAATCCCTTCAGTACTAATCATATTGCTTTCCCCTTCTGTGGTTTTTGGGGGTCTATATCTTGGAATGCTAGAACATTGTGTCATGAGCCCCTGCAATAATCAAACGTAAGAACATTGTAAGATAACGACGGATTAACTATACCGTTGTTTTCTTAATAGTGAGATGTTATTGATGCTTCAGAAAAGTTATTAGCTATACACTCCTTTAAGATTAATTTAATGCATAAACGAGTGAATTAGAGGAATGCATGGTGACTTTTCTCAAACTATTAATCCATGATTATGATTAAAGTATATTTTAAAACTAAAAACTAAAAACATAATGGTCATAGCTAGCTAGTACCTTGTGTCTTTGTGGAACACTTTCTTGGGTTCTCTCTTCTCTTCCTAGGCATGGTGGCAAGGAGGGTGTCCTGAGCAAATTGTGACGCACCGGTTGCCCATTTACTTGACTTCTTCTGATATCACTTTCTCTATCCTGAACTCCTGTCCTCCTCCGAATACAAACCGGCGGTTGGGACGTTGTTGTCTGCAGCATCTTCTGATGCGACGTTTGCCTTTTCAATTTGCTCACGCCACTCTTACCACCACTTTGCTTCACTTGAACATTCTCCTGCCTCCCTATATGAAGCGGCAACGATGGTGTCCGAACCAAATTTGGACTGGAAAATCCACCGCCTTCTGTGGCCTTATTCATCTTCACTGACATTTCTTGGCCAAAATCTGATGAGTTGCTATGAGGATCAGAAAAACACCTTAGCATCTTCTGTTTCCTGTTGAGCAAGTTATCAAAGAACCAACACTCTTCCAAAAGATCATTGGCTTCTTCCACATTGTCTTCTTTCCTACTTGCAGATTGCTCAATTGGGTCATCACCAACAGGCTCCATGGTTCCACACAAAAGTAGTTCCTCTCGGATTTCAACCAGTAAAAGACACCCATATTTTGGCCTTTAAATTAAGCTGCAAAATAGTTATTAAAAAAAAAAAAAAACTAAAATTATGATCAAACACAGCTAGCTGTGGGCTGACTTGGGAAGCCATGTGGGGGCATGGAACCATGTTCTTGTAAGACATAATTTTCGGGATAAAAGCATATTTTAATGTGGAAATACATGCATTTGGACAGAGAGGGACCATGATGTGCGCTAAGTGGAGAGACGAGATAAGATTTCGAAGCAGGGAGTGTGGCACTTAAGTTCATACAACTAAGAAATATGGAGAAGGGTCAACAACTTATGTCAATGACAGGGTCGATGCCAGCACACTCTCCATGTGGTGAACTTTTGTTTATAGAGAGATGCACATGATGTTTTTGCGTATAATATATATGACAACTAAGGTACTAGGTGTCAAAATAAATACAAATTAAAGAAAACACTTCTCTCCGACGAACAAAACAACATGGAAATTGGCCGTTTTAGAAAGAACACAAACTTGTGTTGCTGAAATAAAGAGACCGACGTGAGTATTTGAAATTAGTGTAGATTATCCTATGTATTCAAGATCGAATTTTCATTTTTGTAGTTTAGATGAAATTAGTGTAGATTATCTTATCATTTGTGACAAAGGCGGAACAAGTGAAAGTCTAAAACACTTATGTGTGTGTGTGTGTGTGTGTGTGTGTGTGTAGTAATGAGATAGTATAGATATTGTTGATTAAGTAATGCTAGGGAGACCAAAATTTTAAACCAAATTTGCAAATAAAATGATGTGTCACCAATAGAAAATAAGCACGTTAATCAACATTTGAGTAATAATTCAATCATCAACAACTAAATCATTTGGTTTAAAAAATTTGGTCTCTCTAGCTTATCCTTGTTGATATGATGTTAATAATGTTGTCTGTTATTCAAATATGTAAGTTGTCGATGTCTGTTGGACAAGTTATTCTATGTATTTACAATAGTATTGGTAATGGCAATGGACAATAGTTCATATGGAATTTGTTTTGTTTTTATTTGAAGTGAGAATCTAATTACATGACAGGCCTAGTAACCCCAACGCAAACTTCAAGATGGCTCAAAGTAATGAAAAAGGATGAGAGTCCAAAAATGTTCAACCCAGATCAAGTGTTAGGTCACAGTTCTAAGCCCATCACCTTCAAAATTCCTTTCCAATTTCCATGGGGAGATAGAGTTGACGAGCTTAAACCAAGAACAATGACGGATGGTAACTTTAATTACTTTACTTTCACGGTGCAAGACTCATGCTCTTCAATATGCTGACTCTAGCCACGGCGTGCAGAGATCATTCTTGGTCCCAGACAAGCCAATAGCCATGCATCTGAAAGAGGATCACTTACTGAGGAGCTTGATTATCCTTACAAATATCACAGACTCGCGACGTTAATTGATACTAATATTAACAACCAATTCATACACATAAGAGTACGTTAATGGTAAGGAGATTACTGCAATATGTTGCGAGGAAAACTACATTTTCGTACCACATTTATGTACTATTTGATGCGTAATTACCACATCTCATTAGATGTTGATTATACTCATGTTGTTGCCCAACTTGCATGTATGTGCAGACACGTCGATGTCGGAAGAAAATAATGTCTGAGGTTCCTATATAACTTCCGCAACCACAAGTATTGATCAGTGATCTTCATTATTGCTTCAGAAAAAAGAGGTGCCTTGTTTTTTGGGATTAGAATTCGCCGCTAACTCATATGAACGTCGCAACTTCATAGAAAACATGGAAAGAAACTGTGAACTTGTTTTCATTAACTTGCCTTTCTTCTGTCCTGTCATTAATCTCTATCCTTGACAAAGCGTAACAACATATATTCAACTTGCGTTTTCACTCTTAAGTAACAAAGCAAATCGTAATTAGATTTTATTTTTGGATATTTAAGATTGTTTTGGTTAATTTCGAGTGTAGATTTCAATTTTGGTCCTTGAATACTTAAGGATGAAAATTTACTGTAATTGGACTTAATCGAGTTGGCTAGGACATGGTGTACTTCTCTTCCCATGCTAGACTAAATTAAACAAAAATTAAACTGATACGGCAAGTAACATCGTAAACTTTATAAAAGACGAGTGATATACTTACCACATTTGTACTACCTTTTTAATAGAGGTAGGGCTCATCAACACTTCTGGGTCCTAGCTCTATTAGATGGTGGAAAATGTGACAAGAATAACATTTTTTTATAAAAGAAATCTAAAGAAGGGTTAACTGAAGTTTAATTTTCATTGAAACCAAGAACTTGTTTTGGTCAACTCTTTGTTTCACCAAGTTGTTACATGAACAAATTCGTACATGCATAGTAAGTTTGTAACCAATGCAGTCTTTGAAAATTTCAACGTTTCCCTTTAGAAACAAGTCTAGTTATTTGTAGCAATTGGGCCAAAGTTTTTACCAACTTTCGCGTGGTTGCCAACAAACATAAACGCGTATAACCAACGATCCGACAAATTTTGCAAATAAATCTGAGATTTTGACCAAACTAACGAGGAAACATCAAACAAGATCTCATTGCATGCGAACTATAGTTCACCATACTTTTCCAAGAGCTAGAGCTAGCTGTTTAACCCTAAAAATGGCAGAACCACCCAAGATCTCCTCAAGCTTTCACTTAGCCATGTTCCCATGGCTTGCCATGGGCCACATCACCCCATACGTTCACCTCTCCAACGAGCTCGCTGCCAGAGGCCATAGAGTCACTCTCTTGGTGCCCAAGAAAGCTATCCTTCAGCTCGAACATCTCAACCACCACCCTAACCTCATCACTTTCTCTCCAGTCACCGTCCCCCACTTCGACGGCCTCCCCGAGGGCACTGAAATCGCCTCGGAAATACCCATTCACAATATCCATTTTCTTGCCGCTGCCATGGACCTCACACGCGACCAAATCGAACACTTCCTGAGCGCAAACAAACCCGACTTTGTCTTGTACGATGCTGCACATTGGGTGCCGGAGATTGCGAGGAAAAACGGCATCAAGTCCGTTTGTTACAATGTTGTATGCGCTGCGGCTCTCGCTATTGCGCTTGTCCCAGCGCGTCAGGTCCCCAAGGACCGGCCTATTACAGCGAAGGAGCTAGGGGTCCCACCTGCTGGGTACCCGTCAACGACTGTGGTTCTCCAAGGACACGAGGCCCGGTCGTTGACGTTCATAACGGAGCCGTTTGGGGACGGGATCAGATTTTACGATCGGACCATAATTTGTATGAAAGAATGTGACGCTTTGTCCATTCGAACGTGCAGAGAGCTTGAGGGTGATATGTGTGATTACATGGAAGATCAGTATAAAAGGCCGGTGCTTTTAACTGGTCCTGTTTTGGGTCTGGGATCCGATAATAACACTGAACAATTAGAGGACCGGTGGGCGAAGTGGTTTGCTGGGTTTGAGGCTGGATCTGTGGTGTTTTGCGCATTCGGGAGCCAATGGGTTCTCGAAAAAAGCCAATTTCAAGAGCTCGTGTTAGGGTTTGAGCTAACTGGGTTGCCATTTTTTGTGGCTCTGAAACCGCCGTTGGGTTGCGAGACAATTGAAGAGGCATTGCCGGAAGGGTTTGAAGAGAGGGTTAAAGAGAGAGGGGTGGTGGTTGGGAGCTGGGTGCAGCAGACATTGATTTTGAACCACCCAGCAGTTGGGTGCTTTGTTAACCATTGTGGGTTTGGATCAATGTGGGAGTCTTTGATGAGTGACAAACAGATTGTGCTGGTTCCACATCTTGGTGACCAAATCTTGAACACCAAATTGCTGGTTAAGAAGCTCGAGGTTGCTGTGGAGGTGGGGAGGGAAGAAAGTGGGTGGTTTTCGAAGGAGAGTTTGAGCAAAGCTGTTAAAAGTGTGATGGATGAAGAGAGTGAGGTGGGTGTTATGGTGAAGAAGAACCATGCAAAGTGGATGGAAGCGTTAACAACTCCTGGGTTTATGAGTGGATATATCGATAGGTTTGTTCAGAAGTTGAAAGAGCTTGTAAATTAGCTTCTACCAGTTTTTTTTAATTTTTAATTTTTTTTTATTTTTTTGTAGTTGCACGTTTGTTGTTTTTATTTTCTTGTTTTGTGTTGAAATTTAATGTTACGTTTTAATTAGGCTTCTACACTGTAAGAAACATTATTTGTCTTAATGTGTGGGGTTGGAATTATTTTTATTAGTAAGTGTGAGAATGTGAGAACGAAGTCTCACATGTGAAAGACCAAATTATGCAAGGACTTGTAGGCGGTTGAATTACTTCCTATACTACCAATTGATTTTATGATGAAACTCCAAATTTCTTCTTGGTATCAAACCAAGTTGGCTCGCATGTGAAGCTCAACGGCCACACGTACTCAACATCACCCATTTATATTATCTATGTGTGAAGCTTAAAAATTCACCACACGTAAAAGAGCTAGTACAAAGAATAGGTAGTTACTCAAACCCAACTGCACAGCCCAAAGAAGTTGTGAGTTCTAACTTTGTTCATTGTACAACTTGGTTAACGGGTTCTTTCACAATTACTCTCTAAACCACTTCAAATACAGAATAATGAGATTTAACCAAGTAAACAATTTGAATTAGGCAATCCAACTGAATGCCTCATGTTAATGCACTTGTCCAAATGCAGTCTAAAAGAATTCAACAGAGAGAAGGAACTGGAAGTGCTTTCAACTACATATGCAATATCATAAAACCAGGTCACTCTATACAAAACCATTCTACAGAATACCCGACTACTTCACAACGACCTAAAAGATGTCCAAATAGCTGTAATGTCATTTTAGAAACTTTTCACAGCCCGAAATCATCCAATCACTCTTCAAACTCAGTGACGTCCATCACATCAGTCATGACATTCTGATTCTGCGATTTACGCAATTCATCAATATCAGCGGCTAACAGTGGATCATCCTTCACTTTATCTGACTTCAATTTCGCAGGGCAAGCTGATAGGAGGAAAAACCAAAAGGGTTTAGCAATCCCACCAAAGTATAAGTCCAACTGATGTAGGGGAACAAAAAATAAATATACCTGCAACAGGGCATCGTGTGTTGTTTTCCCGTAAGTAATGCATGATATGCCCTTTGTCGTAAACATGCTTGCATATGACACTGCATTTGGGGGAAAAAATACACCAAGAAAAAACTTTAACATTAGAAAGGTCTACAACAGTGTAGTATGAGCTAAAGTAAATATAAGAAGGGACTGGAAACGCCTAAACACACATAAATACTCAATGCTAGAAGTCTTATGCGACACCAACATTCAGCAAAGACCGTAAATTCATATTTTCCCAAAAAGGAAAAAGATAAATGTCTGAAGTAACTGATACAGCACCTGCGAACTGGATGCTCCAGTTCAGTGACAGGCTTTCCACTTAATGGACAAGTGACATTCAAAATACTGCTTTGGTTGCTCGTCATTACAATGTCCTCCTGCTCTTCACCTGGCATAGGTTCTCCTGCGTGATGGACTTTCTGCAGAAAAATATTAAAAACTCCAACTCAGAAATAAAAACCTGAGACAAGCAAATAATGCACATGCACATCCGTAGTAGAATATTAACAGTAATAATAGCTTCCATTCCTCGGTACGATACAGACACTTTCAATTTAAAGAATACTTTCTCTGCTCCTCGGCAAATTTACTGCTCAAGTTGCACTAAACTATAAACATTTGCCTAACAAACAAAGAACACTATGAACAAATAATTTTCATAAGAACTTACTTTCCGCTACTTCCACTGTATATTTTCATAACAGAAAGATTGCAATCATCCCTTAACTTCAGGCTTACAAAAACATAAAGAGGATTAAGCATGAGACAAAATTATGAGGCACAGAATGACGGAGAAACGAAACATGCAGCAAAAGAAGGATTTGAAACCCAAACATATGTTACCTTAACAACAGTCAACACAGATGACTGATCTTACAAGTTTCAAAATGCATCAGACGAGGTATAATTTAGATACCAATGAAGCACTTAATATTCCTTCCCAAGCATGGAGATACATACCACAGAAACAATTGCCATAACAAGATATTACCGCAGAACTATCATACAACATAACCTATTGTCATAAGCTGAATTAAGCCTTTATTTGTCAACAGAGACTAGCATACTTGCCCCCCATATATGGTCTTTCTACCCTTTAACAAGAATAAGAAAAACTACAATAAACAGTATCTCCACAAATCATATTCATTTGGGAAAAGATATAACACCTAAAACCATCAATTCTCTTTGACGTAAGACGTGCTATACTCTAATAAGTAGTTTACTTCTCCCAACACTTTGCAGTTACAATTATACTCATATACTGGCATACAGCACCAAGGTTACAACGGCCATTTAGTCTAAGGATTGGCAAACATTAGTCAGAATAGAGCTTAACCAAAAAACTACTTGCTCAGTTAATGAAATTTTATACCCTTTTAGCCATAGACATAAATAACATTCCCTTCAACTCAAGAAATAAAATAATTACACAAACTATTGCTAAGTTAGGCAGAAAAGTGCTTTTAACAATTGTTTGGTTTCTAAACTAGTTAGCATCATTCCAGCCTGTCATAAGAAAGTCGAGGTGAAGTTTATTACTAAAAACCAAATAAGAAGCATTACTAATTCATTGTGCTTACTTTAGTATTGGCCAACAGCATTGTCGAAAGTCAGCGAAAATTTTCAAAATCTTATTCTGTGCATTTAAAGTAACAAAAGTTCATACCCAGACAGCTTCCCGGAATTGACGTATCAAAGGATGGTTTTGGGGAACTGAAGATGAGTATGCCTTCAGCTGTGCAACCTCATTCTTGAACAACTTATCGAAATCAGTAAGCTGGCCCATAAACAACAAATCAGTCAGTCAAGATCGGGACAAGAATAAGCAAAGTCATTGAATGCGAAACAAAACGTGAAAAAGAAAATTCCTAGCACCTCAGGCCCAGGTTGGTATTTATGTCCAACAGATTCAATTGCTGACGAAAAATGCGAACAGTCTTCATAAGTAGCCACCAATTCAACAACGGCATTTTCGAGCTCCTTCACCTGTCACAGTTTCGAGTTCTCATATCTTGAGAAATAATTCATATCTTCAATCTATGATCTACGATGGAGCATTTTAATCACAATTACAATTCCATTTTATCTTAACAGTTTCTAGCCAAAACATGTCCAAATGGCAATTACATTAGATAAACCCAAAATTTCAAATTACTCAAAAAATTCAGAACTTTGCTAAAGTTTCAGGCTTTTAGCAGCACCTACAAATTTCAGAAATTAAAACCACTTCTCGTTTAAGGACATTACCTTCTCAAATTGCTTAGCCCTCTCGAAATCGACTGCAATTTCCTTCATCAAACTGAAAGCTTTCCCAATATCCTGAAACCAGAGATAATCTTCCATAAGAACAATAAACTGCTATTTTTTTTCCTACAAAAATAAAAAGGCATAAAAATTAACAGCTTACGGAGATAAGAGACTGGTTGTCCTCGTGGAGATTGACGGTGGCGGTTCGGATCCGGCCCATGACGCCATGAGTGCGAGAGGTCGAGGCCATGGAGGGATGAGGGTTGTAGGGGTTTCCGACAACCGGGTTCAGGCGAACCGGTTGGCTGATTGGCGGGTTCTTCGCTGGTGTGAGCGAGGGCAACAGTTCTCGAGTACAGACTACAGAGATATATGGGCAATTTTGGAGGGAGACTGCGGAGTAGAAAGAACAAAAAGTACGAAACGGCATCGTCCATTCCTCTTCTGAAATGCGACGAGTCGTATATCACAAGGCCAAAGCGAAACATATCCCATTTTGATCTTAGCCTTATACAAGATTCATTGGCATGATCCAACGGTCGAGGTTTCAATATATACATAAGAGTCATTCTATTCTAGGAAAACGTACCACGGCAACTCGCATGCTGCTGCAATCTCGTTCCAACTCCATGTACCTATCGATCCCTATATTTAACTGATATGTCGAAAATATAGACGAAATCTATTGATTTTAATTGAAATTTCGATCGTATCGAAGAAATTTTAAACACTACTCTTAAATACTAAGTAGTAGTCCTAAAATACCAACTAGCTATTTATCTAATGTCATTTCTATTTCTAATGTTAAATCCAACTTCAAATCTCTTACGCCATTAATAAAAAGAAACTGGTCGGTAAGATAATCGCTCGTTCAAATAGTCATGTGTTTGTTATATCATGTCCATGTTGCAACCATAGTTTCGAAGTCGCTCACAAATGCACTTGAATTAAGTTCGATTTGGAATTTTATGTACTGTTTTTGGACTTTCTTCCTCTCTTTGTTGCCAACTTTTGGCTACTATGTACGGAACAGGGTTCAATTATATAATATTATGTGTAAGTTTGTATTTTACATGACATTATGTATTATGAATCAAAACATGATTTATCGATAAATCTTTTTTATATAAGTTTTTCTCCCAAATTAGAACTAGGTCATGAGAACGCCCCAATACAAATGGGAGAACCACCTCATGATGCAACGGTCCGATCACGATGGTCGTAAATGGAAGTCAACAACATTTTTGAAAGAGAGAGATCGAGGGCCGAGAACCATTTGCATTCCTTGTTTGGTTTGAAATAGAATATAAAATTGGACTTGGAGGTTGCATTACTAAAGCAAAAAGAGCTGATTAATATGGTACATGACATAGCGAGGATTAATAATTAGAGATTCAGACAGTTAATTGGGAACTCAAACTCATAACTAAATGTACTAGAAACTCTTATGTGTATTACTTATTATTTTAAAAATGAACGACTTTATGATTAACATGTCTAATTTTTAATTGCATATTAAAAAAATTTACCTATTATAATTTGAATAGAATAGTAAGATCTCATAACCGTGTTCCAATATTGTTGACTCTAAAAACTACTTAGCCTACGTGGTGCGCAAGCTGAAGAGCTAATAAGCTAACTACGTCATTTGGTTGAATGCGTGGCGTGGCGTGCCAACTCGTCGGCTGAGCTTGGCTAGGGAGTGAATGAATGTTGATGTGGCATTGGGCGCGCTGATGACTTTTAAATCTTGCGACTGTGGTTGAGGAAGGAACACATCTTGAACTTTGGGTTCTAGAGCCTGAAGACAAGGCTACTAGTTTTGAGAAGTTCAATAACAAATTCGGCTTTCAGTGTGCCAAATGTCGTAACCTGGTAATACCTCACTTCACCGAGAAGGCTAATGAAATGGCCTCTTCCAACAAGGACTCGAAAATCCTTGCTGACTGAGACTTGGATAGATAACTAGTCGGTCTCGAAGTAATGTTGTTTATCCAACTGAAGGAACTGAAGGTGCTCCTTGGTCAGTTGATTATACGGCTCTAGTGTTGTTTATTCAAACTAAAGATGTTGCGGATTGCCAACCTGTTTATTCAAGCTAAAGGTGTGTTGGTAGAAAAAAGGGTAAAATAAAAATCTTAAGATATTTGAGAGGTTTTGCGAATAGCGAGAGGTTGCGCATGACAGATTTGTGTGTTGATTTGGAAGGGTCTTGAATGATGTACTCTCCTCTCTATTTATAATAGCAATTCCTCATGACCGAAGTAGAATTCTACTCGGACTTCAAATCATTGATCAAATCCAAATAGCCTTCGGCCAGTCCTAGTTCATGTGGGATTCTAAATCTAACTTTATTATATATATATATATATATATATATATATATATGTGCGCGTGTGTGTGTGTAATATTTTGAGCACTATATGATCTTATTCAACTATTCATACAACATTAACTGTACAACAAACTGATTGTCTCACCAAAGAATCTTGACTGACAGCCAGCAAACCACCATGGAAGAAATAATTTAAGACCCAATTATGAATCTAATTAATTTGATTGAATCATCTCACGTCACATAAGAAGGATTGCTATACAAATTGACTTATATTTTCTTTCTTCACTGTCTCTTAAAGATATGTACTGGCTTGCTTGTATGAGTGAGCAAATTAATTGCAATGTAATTAATTAACAGCCGAGTACGAAAAATAAATTCTAAGATGAACATCAAAATTAATTAGAAGCATTTTCATGCAGAATCAAACGTACATTAATCACATATAACCCCGTAATATTAAACACTAAACCCATTAATTACCAAAAGAAAAAAAAAAGATTAAACCCATCACTGCATGCCAATCAAAGAAGCATAGAGCTCCTCAAGTTGCTTAACCTCATCATCCTCATGCGGCTGCAGGCTAGAACTCCCAACACCCTCATCACTACAGTTAGAAGAATCAAATACTGAACAAATCACAGGATTATCAGGAAACATTTGTGATTGTTGGTTCAAGGCCAACACAATTTCATGAGCCTTCTTAAGCTCGCCTCTAAGTCTCTCAACATCTTTCTCAAGCCTCATCTTTTCAGCTAGGGTACTCTCCAACTTCGCTTGGATAGCACTATAGTCAAACTCGAGGCTTTGTGTCTTCCACCGAGCGCGCTTGTTCTGGTACCAAATCGCAACCTGTCTCGGTGGGATTGCAAGCTGCTTGGCCAGCAGGAGCTTGCGCTCTGGTTCGAGCTTGTTGTTGGAGGCAAAGCTTATCTCTAGGAGCTTCACTTGGTCTTGGGTTAGCCTCTTTTTGCTGTGTTTGAATTGGTTTTTGTGGTTTGAGGTGGGGAAAAAATCCATGATTTAGTTGATCTTGCTATCTCCAGCTGGCTATAGAGTTGTATGATAAGCTTGGAGATTTCTGAGATGATCTCAGTTGAATATATTTATACTTAATTATGTTCTCTAATTTACAAGTGTTTGAAAACGTGAGAGAGAGAGAGAGAGAGTTCATGTCCCTGTGGGTTTTCACGTGGGATGTAACCCCACCTCCCTCCTTCTGCAATTTTAATATGTTATAATTATCTTCTATATACATGACTTTTAAGGTTTTTTTTTTTTTTTTGAAAACTAGTTTTTGTTAATTAAAAATCAAATAATATAAGCATTAATTCCCTTTCCATATTGGTAGTGTTAGAGCAACTCCATCCCTATCCACTTTGTGCCAGCACCCAGCCCATTTATCCACTTAATTGAACAGTAATAGACCCAATGAACAGTAATAGGCCAAAGCATCTCCACCCCAAAAAAAATGTGCTGGCACCTAGTCTAAAAATGCGCTAGCACAAACGATCTCCACCCCTACAAAATGCGCTGGCACCCAGTCCATTTAAAATATTAAATAATTTTTTTATAAAATAATAAAAAAAATAGTTTTAATTTCGGATAGGATTTTTAACCAATCTCGTCACGCCACGTGTCATTATCCGAACGTACTATTTTTTGAATAGATTTCCGCTAAGATTTTCAACCAATCCCGACAACCCACGTGTCACTTCCTGTTTACAATAATTTAGGCAAGATTTCGATAAGATTTTTAACCAATCTCGTCACGCCACGTGTCATTATCCGAACGTACTATTTTTTTAATAGATTTCCGCTAAGATTTTCAACCAATCACGTAGTGCCACGTGGCATTGTTTGAATAAGTGTATAAAATTGACCTGGTTGTGATATTTTTTATTTCTATGGTGCAATCCATATATTTATTTTTAATTCCAACATACATTTTTTATTTTTGATTCTTAGATCGAATGAATTAAAGAAAATCAAAATAAAAAAATTAATAAGAAGTATGTGAAAAATAAAAACAAATATGCGAATATCACTTTTTTTTTTTTTTCTTTTCCAATTTATGAGATGTTCCCAAAGGAACCATTTTTTGTTTTGTTACAGTGCAACAAAAACTTGAAGCTAACCTGAATTGTGGTTTGTTTATCATTGATCAGGGGCTGCTTGTCAGTTATTACTACAACTTTATAATGCGACTTTCTCAATTTCTCATTTGATTTTTGTTTTCTTTTTGTATAAGACTTGCTTTGATTTCTTGAAAAGACAGGAGAAGCACGTCTGGTGACTTTAGACCGATTAGCCATAAATAGTACCTCTAATCTCACTCATGTCAATACTCATCGACGACGGGGTTACCAAGGTGTTATAAATTTGCCGCCATGTCAAATCATGAAGACTTCGAAATATCTCCTTCTATTCTACTCCAATTTCTGTTTAGTATCTTTGTTTGGATCTAATTTTTTACTTTTAAAACTAATTAACCTTTTATGGGTTACATGAGTGCAAATTTGCTATATATAGTGGATCATCAATTTAATCAAGTTTTATGAGTGTTGTGGAGGAGAATTTTGAACTTGGATTGTATTATTATTATACGGTTTAGTTGGGAAATGCTTTTATATGACTAAATATGCTTTTAGAAAAAATGTTTTTGGAACTAATCTTTAATAAAAATGCAGGTTAATGATCTATGAATAGGAGATGTTGTGCGAGTATCTACAGGACCTAAATTATCAACCGGCTCTCCAAGCACGTTGAAAATTCGTCCTAGAGTCGCTCCGCCGACTGGAACACTTAGAGGAGCTCCGGTGTCAATCACTTCCATTCCTCTCTTTAGACCCTCTGTAGCACTCATAGCTACAGCTCTAACTCGATTATTTCCTAATAATTGCTGTACTTCACAAGTCACATTAATTTGTTGACCAACAGCATCTCGACCCCTAACTACCAGAGCGTTGTAAATATTAGGCATCTTGCCCGGTGGAAAAGCTACATCCAGTACCGGACCAATGATTTGAGCGATACGCCCCGAGTTTTTAT